GACATTCACTACAGGTATTATAAGTGCATGGATGTTATAAACAAATGTTAGTAACATTTGTTCACCTTTTTGAACCTATTTCAGTTTGTGTAGGACTACCAATGCTTTCTGAAAATATTCACTAAACAAAAAAAACAAAAAAAAGAAATGCCGCAAAAATACCGAAAACCGTGAGGTTAAATTTTCATACCATGACATACCTATCCATCCATCCATCCATTTTCTTCCCCTTAATCCATTTCTGGGTCAGGGGGGTAGCAGTCAGAGATACCCCCAGTTCACATAGCACCAGCCCCTCACTGATCCTCCTGCAGGTGGTGAGTCCACAGGAGCTGAAATCTTCCAGCGGGGGCTTTGGGCAAAGTGGGGTCAAGTGTCTTGCCCAAGGACACAACGACAGCAGACATCACTGAGAGTTGTGAAGTAATGCATCGGTTTTTATATAGCGCTTTGGACACTCAAGACGCTTCACATGTCATTATTCATTCACTCCATACACGGTGGTGATAAACTACCACAATAGCCACAGCTGCCCTGGGGCACACTGACAGAAGCGAGGCAACCAGTATGTGCCATCGGCCCCTCCAACAACCACCAACCATTCACACACACACCAGACTCATTCTAGGCAATGGGGGTGAAGTGTCTTGCCTAAGGACACAGCAGCAGTTTGGCACTTTACAGCCGCAGCCGCCCCACTGTGGCATCAGGTGTTCTCAGAGGTTAAGTGTCTTGCCAAGGACACAACGAGGGAGAATACCTTATACTCGTCCAAATACGTACCGTCCACTACCATGGTCTCATGAGGATCAGATTAACGCGCACATAAGGCAAAAAAGAAAGTTGGTGGTGGTGACATGGATGTTAAACTGTTATTACTGAGAAGAGTCAACGTGGTGAAAACAACACTTATGTCCAGTTATCCCATGACCACGACGACACCATACGCCAATTTACTAAGTATTCCATCATTGGCACTTTCTTAAATGGATTTCAAAAGGTGCATTATGCTACTTTTTATGTGAAGAAAAGGTTATATTCTTGCATATTTGACCTTGATGGACCCAGCAGCATGTGTGGTGTGGACAGCATGGACCAATTGTTTTGTAGTATTTCTGGTGTTGGGGTCCCACAGTAGAAAAAAACCTTCCAAACTATAGACCACAATGCACATGCTCAAACGCACAAAAATATGTAACTTTTTTATCCATGTAAAAAGCTGTGTAATTTTTTTGTAATTTTAATTTGGCCTAACATGAGAACATTGTGTTACAATGATTGCTAGTCTTGTACTTTGTGATATGCAAGAGAAACCTGTATTGTCCTGTATGGCTACAATGACACTAGAGAGCATTTTCCAACAATAAAAAACACAAAATTGAATACCATAAAATGCTACAGTGAAAAGCTGGGGCCGTTTTGAATCACTATTGTTAGTTATGAGGATCAACATGTACTTTTAATAGTGTCAAAATAAATAACAGAGGTCAAACGATTACTATAGGACTTTACCAGGTTTGCACACACAGTAGCTGGTATTTTGGCCCATTCCTCCATGCAGATCTCCTTGAGAGCAGAGCTGTCGCCGAGCAACACGGACTTTCAACTCCCTCCAGATTTTCAATGGGGTTGAGGTCTGGAGACTGGCTAGGCCACTCCAGGACTTTCAAATGCTTCTTACGGAGCCACTCCTTCGTTGACCGGGCGGTGTGTTTGGGATCATTGTCATGCTGGAAGACCCAGTCACGTTTCATCTTCAAAGCTCTCACTGATGGAATGAGGTTTTGGCACAAAATCTCACGATACATGGCCCCATTCATTCTTTCCTTAAGACGGATCAGTCGTCCTGTCCCCTTAGCAGAAAAACAGCCCCAAAGCATGACGTTTCCACCCCCCTGCTTAACATGGTGTTCTTGGGATGCAACACAGTATTCTTCTTTCTCCAAACACGACGAGTTGAGTTTATACCAAACAGTTCTACTTTGGTTTCATCTGACCACATGAAATTCTTCCAATCCTCTGCTGTATCATCCATGTGCTATCTGCAAACTTCAGACGGGCCTGGACATGCACTGGCTTCAGCAGGGGGACACGTCTGGCACTGCAGGATTTGATTCCCTGTCGTCGTAGTGTGTTACTGATGGTAACCTTTGTTACTTTGGTCCCAGCTCTCTGCAGGTCATTCACCAGGTCCCCCCGTGTGGTTCTGGAATTTTTTATCACCGTTCTCATGATCAATTTGACCCCACGGAATAAGATCTTGCGTGGAGCCCCAGATCGAGTGAGATTATCAGTGGTCTTTTATGTCTTCCATTTTCTGATAATTGCTCCCACAGTTGATTTGTTCACACCAAGCTGCTTGCCTATTGTAGATTCACTCTTCCCAGTCTGGTGCAGGTCTACAATTCTTTTCCTGGTGTCCTTCGACAGCTCTTTGGTCTTGGCCATAGTGGAGTTTGGAGTCTGACTGTTTGAGGCTGTGGACAGGTGTCTTTTATACAGATAACAAGTTCAAACAGGTTCCATTAATACAGGTAACAGGTGGAGGACAGAAGAGCTTCTAAAGAAGAAGTTACAGGTCTGTGAGAGCCAGAGATCTTCCTTGTTTGAAGTGACCAAATACTTATTTCCCACCATAATTTACAAATAAATTCTTTAAAAATCCTACAATGTGAATGGCTCAGACAAATGCAAAGCTAGGGATTGACCGGGTGTTTACAGGAATGCATTCTTTATTGTTGTTTCTTTGCAAGGCACTCACTTTATGCCGAGTCAAGACAATTGTGACCACAATCCACAGCCTATACACGAATAATGGCGATTTCACTACGTCTCAAACTGTGGCACTTGTATAAAGCACAAAGTAAAGCTATTTCTCTTTTAAGAAGTAGATCTGGCTGAGACACAATAGTTTAGTCCCAAGTTGGATGCAACCCCACCACTCCCTACATTGTTCAATATACATTTTCAATACAATTTGGTTTAAATATAACATGACAGAATAACACAATAGTTATTTTTTTGCCAAACATATCTAACTCGTTATAGTGCATACGTAAGCCGAGAGGAAGACAAGGTCATCTTCGCCTTCCTGACTCAGTTTTTCATCAAAATGAGTATGTTTATCTCGGGTGTCAATAATTACAAGTTACCAAATTTGAGATTGCACTATTATAGTTTTGAAATTTTGCAGAGCTGTCTTTAGCACACTTTTCCAAACAATCTCAGTAAGCCTGTCACCATAACTTATAATTTTGTTTCAGATAATTATTACAATAAACAATATTATTGAAACTCCATAATGCCACAATAACACAAAGCAGATCAATCCCATTTTGTTTCCGTACATTAAAAAGCATATGTTGGAACAAAAATGCATATTTTAGTCCTTTGGGGGTCATTCTGAACAAGACCTCTTAATTTTAGATAGAAAAAAGCCACTTTAGCAAAGATAATGTACAGAGAATAAATACTTTGACCTAAAATACATTGTTTTAGCCATCAGTTATTGAACAACCGGTAAATATAGACATTACCATGAGCAGCTTATATCTCAGTCACTTTTATTTAAAGCTTCCATCTTGCAAGCACAATTTTCTATCTTGCAGAGCTGTATGCATCAACTCAGTGCACCATAAAAAATGCAAACGTGCAGAGTTACTGCAGGGTGCAAAACTTCTACTTGCCTAACTAGACCTTTACAAGCACCACCTCATACACTCAGTGCACTGCAGAGTAAACTTGTAAAAGCACAGCAGAGAAATAGGTGCTTCTGTGTTTGGATTACAGCCCGGCCGCCCCCCACATACACCCTGCCCACAAGGCTAGAGTTCAAACAGATAACAATCTAATCATTTTCACCCAACGAAGGCGTGTGGCTGTGTGCAAACAGCGCCACATGGGGGAAATCACCCAATAACCTTCATTGTAATTACACAGAGGAAAAATAAATAATGGTGTGGCCATGCGAGACACAATGGGTGTGTTACATTTAGACCGTTTGGAGGGCAACCTTGAAGTGTCAAAACATGCAATCCTAAATGGATGGGGGAAACAGGGGGATATTTGGAACTACATGCATTTCAATTCTCAAATGATCCAACACGAACAGGTCTATACAGAGAACCAGTTTGAGACACTGTTGCATAAATGTGTTGATGTCGGTAAAGCTTGCAAACTACCTTAACCTTCCATGGACTTGAACATGCCAAAATAACTCGCATAACACTGTCATGTTGGATTTCATTGATAAAGTTAACCAGGTCCAACAATAATGTTACCTTCAATAAACGTAATCAATTTAAACAAACGTGACAGAGTTATGTGGAAAAGGTTGCTGAACTTTATAAATTCATTCAAGCACTTTTTTCTTAGATGTTCTGTTCTTTTTTTTTTTATCCAATAATCACTGACCTTTCAGGATCGAAACAACTCATTGAACTAATTAATGGAAAACAGTTCTGTTATGTAATTAATTAAATACAACTGAAAGATTACAAGTATCTTCCCATTTGAATGCACTGTGATAATTCATGAATGCCTTGTATGATTTCTGTCTTGTTGAGTTAAGCACTTTCAGTTGCCTTGCGTGTGAACTGTGCCATACAATTAAACTAGCCTTGCCAAATTGAAAGAATACTAATAATATAACTAATATATATACACATGCTTGGTTATGCAGTGGAAGTTAGCTATACAATCAATAACTACAGCAGTCAGATCCTTTGTAATGTGTGATTGCAGATTGAAACAGTCAAGTCAAATAAGATAAATAGCAATTGTGCAATGACTGAATGCGGGATTTTATGGAGCATACCACAGGAATAACTCATACACTCTTTTATGAGAATTTTCCAGCTTTCAAAAGCAGGTCTCGTCCTCCAAACCCACACCTGTGCAAAGTACTACTAGATCTGTGCGTATATCCCATTATTTATACTGTGACAGACAACTATTCCCTTAAGCACAACAACAACTTAAGCCAGATCACAGAGACTTACGTTTAGTTGCATTGATGAGGTTCTTCCCATCCTTGTACAGCTCTTTGATGAACCTGTTGGTCTTGTCCAACTCTGCTTCATGTGCCTTGATTTTCTCCCTAAAGCAGGGGCTGTCCAAATAGCACTCACTAAACTCCAGCGCCTGTAGACCCATGGCGAATTGTTTCCCTGCTGCGATCACAAGAAAATCCTGTTAAAAGTGGATAAAAACATAAAACATAGCCACGTCGGGCATGGGGTGAAGTGGTAGCCAGTGGTGGAGGTGGAGGAGGCTAGCACGTTAGCATTGCCCCTTCGGTAGCAGCAGGGGTGTAGCTCCACAGTTGTCAAATAAGGGGAAAAGTTTATATCAGTGGGTTTGAAGTTTAAAACGTTAAAATAAAAAGTTCCCCGGTCCAAGAGCTGGTCCTAAATCGGCCGACTGGACATAGGGGGGAAGCCGCGGTGTTAGGTCCAGTGCTGGCTTCGTCCATGAACGCGCCTGTCCACCTGGCTGAAGTGAAGTGACAGATTGGGAAACTCTGCTGACATCTGCGTGCGTGGAGCGCCGCCCAAAGAGCAGAGCAGAGGCAAGATGTATATATGCGTTACTTCCGCTTCAGCCGGGCGCGTTTCATGCACACAAATATATATCAGTCAGAGTCAGAATCAGAATTATTTATTGCCATTATAAGCAACAGGAAGTCACAAACTAGGAAAGTGCTTTGGCTCTCGGTACAGACGAGTCACACCCTAACCCTAAACCAATTTTTTTTGTTATTGGCCGTACATTTGAAAGAAGTAAAGGGATTAAAGTGTAATTGTATGGCACTAATACAGTTCTAATATCTGGCTTTTCAATTGTAAGCATTTTCAGCAAAATTAACTATTCAAATATACATTGGTTTACTATCTTTTTATACTGTGTATGTTATTTGAGTATAATAATGAGCATAATTCGGGTATAAAAATAATAATGCATTGGTTTTATATAGCGCTTTTTTGGACACTAAAAGATGCTTCACATGTCATTATTCATTCACTTCATACACGGTGGTGATAAACTACTACTGTAGTCACAGCTGTCCTGGGGCACACTGACAGAAGCGAGGCAACCAGTATGTGCCATCGGCCCCTCCGACCACCACCAACCATTCACACACACCAGACTCATTCGAGGCAATGTGGGTGAAGCCACCCCACTCTACCAACTGAGCCAACTGAGTATAGAAACGTACTATTTGGATTGTATGTGGAGGTAAGATTATCAACAATAAGTATCGGCGATACTGTTATGTGTTACCCAAATCTCTATATTCATGTATTAATCTATACATACATACTGTATGTATATATCTATCTATGTATATCTTTGTGTTTCTTTTGAAATTCACAAAGATACATAGAGAGATAAAAGCGAGAGTATTCTGCACGTATTTCATTGTGTGAAATACGTGCAGATGCTCGTCAGAATAAAACCAATACGACGAAGTTTTTTTGACACAAGATTTAAAAAAATGTTTTGTCACACTGCAAAGTAAAAAACAAAAGTAATTTAATGTAATGTCCACTTAACTAAAGGACTTTTATCTTTAATTTTGCAGTGTGCCTTGGATCCCTTATTTAATAACATTTATTCATTTTGGTTATGTGTATACATGTATTCAAACGCTCTTCACTTCAAATCTTCACTGCGAGCCTGTGAGCAACTCCATAACGCTGGGTGTTGTTTGGACTTCATAATGTTACATCTACACTATAACAGTCCAATACACAGAATATAATGAAGAAATATTGACTTATCACAGCAGCTTGGTTCTAACTTTTAACACACATGTATTTTTCACCAGACAGAACAGTGTAAAAGAGAGGACCACTCCACCGATCAGCTCTCAGCCAAAACAGCGTCAAATAGTTTTCTAATAAGATACAGACATTTGTTGTGGTCCGATTTGTTTACAACATTTTCTTTTACAAAACTTGTTCAGTTAGAATAAAATAAAATCAATTTTAGTGGTCCCCAGTTTTAATTGCTAAATAAGTATCCGTCACCTTTAAAGTTGTGTTGCACCCAAACAAGTGCCATGAATATTGTTACATAGTTTTAAAATTATAATTAAAATAATGTAAGTAAGTAAGTAAGTAAGTAATGTTTATTTATGGTTTATGGTGGGTTTAAGGTTGAAAAATGTCACTAACCTGATCAAGCGTTTTTGGTTTCTTTACACTATTTTCCACAGCATTTTGAATCATTGCTTTGTTTATATATATATAAAAAAGATCAAACCTAATTGTTTAAAAAAAAAAAAAAAAAACTGTATACAAGCAAGGGAGAAAGAGACTGAGTGTGTGTGTGTGCGCGCATGTGTGTGTGTGTATGTATGATTGTGTTACTGTATTGTGTTGTGTTATGTCCATGTGTTGAATGAGCGTAGGGGGTTGGAGGTTTAGAACCGTCAGCTTCATCCAACCCCTTTTCAAAAATTGAATGAACAATTGTATGGAATATTATGTGGTGGATTTGTGTTATACATGTTCAGAAATAAACAGATTTTCTTCATTACAAATGTTGTATTTTGTTTGTGTGTTTTATATCCTCTCAAATACGACTGAGGTTTGATGAGTGTGGTAAAGAAAAAAGGTTAAATGCAAGTTTGAAGCATATATGTTCTTTTTAGCTGCGCATACGGCTGAAGGATTTTATTGATACATACTCTTTTTTTTAATGCATTGTGGTTATTTATTATTTTAATCCCGTGTGTGCTTTTAATATTTTAAGGTTTTTTTCATTACTTGTGATTTTATTCTGTTTTTAATGTATTTATTGTTTGTATATGTAGTTTTTGATGTTTCTGATTTGTCTGATATTATGTGGGTTGTGAGGCGCTTTGAGTGGCCTTGTGTTGGAAAGGCGCCATACAAATAAAGTTGATTGATTGATTGATTGATATATGAGAAACAAAACACCAGAAGTATACAGCGTCTGTGATCTACAATTGATAATTTATATAGCACTCAACTATCTTGAACATGTAACACTCTTTGCATAAATGCACAAATGGGTCATCTCTCAAATAAATTGCATCAAAAACATAGGAAAAATATCAATCTACTCTTACGATACTTTAAATATGTATATGTTCTCGTTTGGACCTATTTTAAGAACAAACAATTTCTCCGGAATCGATGCCGGGGAGCTCGTGTTTCGTACGGGCGTGTTTTGGTGTAACACAGTTTTTCCCCACTGCTGCAGAGCTAACATTTTATCAGAAAAGGACGATATTTAACATCCCAGATATATATTCACATTTTGTAATTCCCGATTCATTTGGTTTGCGGTGGTGCTTTGATGTGATTGAGTTCCATGGAAAAAGTAAAATTAAATACTAACATTGCCCCAGCATTAGCATTCCTCTTTTCTGGTCATTTTGGAGACGGTGGTATCAAGTCAGAAGAGCCCAGACGCACAGAAAAGGATCACAGTAAGTATTTACATCAATAATAAATGCTGAAAGGTGACTAAAAACGTATTTATCTGAAATATATGTCTTTTGTGTCATTGTGAGGGCGGGGTAGGCAAACTACAAGATTAATATTGGTGTCAATGGGAGGATACTATTGTAAAAGTAGTGATTGCAATTATATATCAGTTTGTAATGTTTTGATATTGACAGAAATAAGAAGATATGCACAGTCTGTTTAAGAGCACACACGCTTGGGCAATAATACTATAATAAATCAATCAAGCTAATTAAATCCTGTCTTCTAAACGAATACTTTTTGCTCTAATTTTTGTTTCAGATGCCCAACGCTAGTACCAAACCCAAACATGGACGCCGTTCAAGAAGGCGACAAAGAGATGACCCGGCCAGAAATGAGCTTGTGTCCAGTTCTCTAGAGAGTGCCCAACAGTGTCTCTTCAACCAGGACTATGGCACTGCATTTGTCCACTACCTCCTTGCCCTCAACCTGGCACCCGTGTTTAAAGACTTTGCCAAAGTAAGAATCATTTGGTGGTGGTGCTTTATAAATTGCTCGACATTTGAATAGTGAATGACTAAAACTATCATAACCATATTCACAGAGACTTTTAGTAGTAAACCACACACAGGAGGTGACAACATTCCATAGCAAATGCATGATGTTGGCCAGAAGACAGTTTCACACATGATATTGTGGGGTTGTGAATCAAGTCACTGTCAAATAATTATCTGGGAAAACATTAGGATATTTCTTATCTTGGTTCAAACCAAGATAAGATACATTACGACTACTACAACTTTTGGTCGTCTAATACTAAACAACATAAGCGACTTTAGTTTTAAGCTAGTGTTAAGCTGTTTTAACTCTAGACTAAACAACTAAAGACCAAGTTTAGCATCACTACAACATGTTTAAAAAGGCAATACTAAAATCAGATATGGAGTTTCTTGTCTTGTTTACCCTTTGTGTATCCTTTTTTCTCCTTCAGGACTCTTTCAGGTTTACCCTCTTTAAATGGGCCGATGAGCTGGACTCTCTCGGGCGCATCCAGGACCTGTTTGGCTGCTATGAACAAGCTCTGGAGCTCTTCCCTAACGATGAATTCATCCTGAACAGCGTGGGAGAGCATCTGTTTAAGTATTTATCTCATACCTGTTTCCCTGCATGTATTGTCTTGACTGTAAACATATTATTTGAAGTAGAAGTCAAAGTGTTACTGTCAGTTTTTGTAGTCATTTTGCCAGTGGTTGAGGGTTGTCCAACAGCGTATAGGCATCATAATAATAATAATCAATCGATCAAGAGGTTTCCAGAACATGTAGAAGCACAAATCCACTGAACACAATATCAAAACAACAAAAATTCAACAGAGCGTAGAAGTAACACACTACAATATCATGATACAAGACAGACATACACACACACAACATAATATAAATTGCTCATAACAATTTGATGGAACAAAGGAAACATACAAATGTGACTCTTTTTGGCTTTTTAAACATTGTTCCTTTTGTTGAAAGAGTTACAAACGTATCCTCTGCTCTACAGCTGAAAGATGACAATCATTTTTAATATCAAGCCAAGGCAAGTTTATTTGTCTAGCACAATTAATACACAAGGCAACTCAAAGTGCTGAACAAAACAAGATGAAGACAGTCAAACAAGGAATTAAAATCATAAATAATCACAGTACATTAAAAATAATGAAGATAAAAATCCTTCAGTTGTATACATAGCTAAACATAACTGTTTTTAACCTTGATTTGAATATTGTCAGAGAAGAAGCTTGTCTCACATTTTCAGAAAGACTGTATAGACTTTTGTATTTCTTTGTTTAGTCCCCCTGTTTTCTATCACATTTGTCTTGACCAGGATGGGGTACCGGGATGAAGCAGCCTGTCACTTCCACAAAGCCTTGAAGATGAGGCCTGACTACCCTGAGGCCCGCGAGAACTTTTACAGAGTGGCAAACTGGTTAGTGGAGCGCTGGCACTTCCTCATGCTCAACGACCGCGGCCGGAACCAAAAGTACCAGCAGGCCATCCACCGGGCCGTGGAGAGCGGCTGCAACACTGTACTTGACATAGGTACTGGCACTGGAATCCTAGGGTGAGACAGGACAGAAACGTAGCACATGCCAGTAGAATCGATTTTCCACGCGGAGAAAACCGGAGAGATGTTGTTCTAATTGTGCTCTGTGGTTCAAGCATGTGCGCCAAGAAGGCCGGGGCCGCACAGGTGTTTGCCTGCGAGCTGTCCAAAACCATGTACGAACTGGCCTGCGAGGTGGTGAGCGCCAACGGACTGGGAGGGCAGATCAACATCCTCCACAAGAAGTCTTTGGAGATGGAAGTGCCCAAGGATATTCCACAGAGGTACACCTGCCATTCCACTGGTAATATTAGTTTGTTTGGATGTTTTAACTAGGAGTTGACAAATGTATCGGGCAGTTTTTTTTACGGTTTTGAAATGCCTGTGATTGGTCATAAATTGATCCAAACTAAATGCCACCATGGAATGTCATATTTCAGTTTAATGTTTTTTCCATCAGACAAACAACATGATACGTTATTATACTCTGGAGAACAATTCCATAACATACTTATTAACAATTATTAAATAAATCAATGCATTTTATATGTTGACAGTACTCGGCCATCTTTACTTTTGGTCCAGCTTTTGGTTCAATCCAAACATTTCCGAACTGATTCCTTTCAAAAAAGCTTACCGAACTAGAATATACAAACCTATATTTTTAAAAAGTAAAACATTTGTCTAAAATACCTTTTATCATCTGAAAAATGTGAATTAAAGTTGAATTATTGACTTTCATTGAACCAGGAAAGTCTCATTGAGATTTCAGAATCTCTCTTTTCAAGGGACTCCTAGCCCCAAAGGGAGGGGGATGAAAATAAAAAGGGCCTAACAATTTTTAAGTAGTTAATTAAATAATAATTAACTGTTTGTTGTTGTGTTTTTTTTTCCCATAAAAGGGTGTCGTTGGTTGTGACAGAGACGGTGGATGCGGGTTTGTTTGGAGAAGGCATTATAGAAAGTCTCATTCATGCTTGGCACAACTTGCTCTTACCGCCACAGGTAATGTAACGTTCACGATACTAGTGTCTCAAAAATACTATTCTTAAATCACAGGCAACTTATTACAAGATGGGTTGAATTATAAAACGCTGTTATTTTGCCTATAAATTACTAGAGAACAGCTTTGCACAAGTAAAAGTTTAAGCATTAGCTGGTATAGTTTTATTACGTCATTAGAAAGACGATTGGCAATATTGAAATAAGAAAATAAATGGTATTGTCTTTTCCACAGTCTGATTCAGAAAGCAGCGAGCCCTCTGCTACAGGTCGAGTGATCCCAGCTGGAGCCACAGTGTTTGCCATGGCTGTGGAGAGTCCTGAAATCCGCCGCCATCACAGGTCCTTGTTTTTACCCATCCATATGTTCTGTATATACAGTGGTACTGCATTATGAAGTTTATTATATTTTATTGGTTTTAGGTATCATTTTGAATTATTTGACTTCCTTCCACAAGCTCTCACAACAGTTGGGTGGAATTCAGGCCCATTCCTTCTCCCTACTGTTTTTTTAAGATGCCTCACCCGTATATGTGCTTTCTGTAGCTGTTGTTAGCTAAAACAAGTTAAACATTATACAATGTTGAAAGTGCAGTATGTTATTGCACTTACCCTACATCTAGAGCAGCCCTGGGCCTGGCCCAGCCACCAAGAAATTGAATTAGTCCCGTTGCTCATTTTTCATAGAAGTGTACTTTTTCTGACATTTTCTGCGCTGCTTTGATGCATCTGTGCTTTTGCTGCGCCGCACGGGTAAAGCTGTGTGCTTAGTTTGTGGGGGAGCAGACCCCCGTGTTTAAGGAGAACAAATGTGAGTCTGCACCCGTCGAAGCAGTGAAATACAGAATCTTGAATGATGGTGAAGTAGCACAAACATTGAGCGCAGTAGACTCACTGCAAAAGTAACACAACTTTTGCGTTTTTCACACACAATCGCTAAAAGTACTAAACCATTCACAGTGGGAGAGAATTTTTTTGAATTCAGTGATGTTCAGTGACGATTGATTATGATTAGTTGCTTGGTAAATTTTTGGCACATTCACTTGTGGGCACTGATAAAGCCAATGAATCACATACTGTATGTATCAGAAGAGAAACAGCCCATTACTATTGCTTCGGGAAATTTGCTAAGGCAAACTCACTCATAGTTTGAGGATTATGATAGAGCCTACTTTAACCAACTTCTCAATAATTTTTGTATATATATACATACAACACACACATACGAAAGGTGTTTACTCGTAATTGCAAATAGAACGTTTTTTTGCTCCAACTGCTCTATTTACTGATGCTACTGAATGTTTCTTTTAGGTTATGTTTTTCTTCGGTGGGCGGGCTCTCCCTGGCTGCATGTGGAGAGCTCCGGAGCCCGGTTAGCTGTAACACTGTGCCAGACGATTCCATGGAGCCCTACACGACCGAGAGACTGAGCCGTCTGCCTGGGGGATACACCGCCCTGACCCAGCCCTTCACCGCCCTCAATATAAACTTCAACAGTGTGCAGGTACACTGACAAAAGACAGTAGATGTGCATCCTGTTGTTTTACATAACGTTAGTAAATGGTGTCATTATCATGTTTAATGGCCAAGAATAATGCATAATATTTCTTCTATAACTTCACAAGCTTATTTACATTTCAGTGTTTCAGGACCATGTCTAGTATACATGTGGAGATAGAGAAATTGTATTTTCTTGATTGATTTTGCCGCATTGCAGGAGCTGGAGGGTCTGAGCTCCCGACCGGTGCAGAGGCTGTGGCTGCCGATCACTAAGGAGGGCAGCCTGGACGCTCTGGCTGTTTGGTTTCAGCTGCACCTGGACCGGAACAACAGTCTGTCCACTGGACCGGAGGAGGACACATGTTGGGAGCAGGCCATCTACCCCGTCCACACCACCAAGGGTAAGGATCGTTATAGATGGAAGAAAATAATAACTACTTTGCTATCAGATCAAACAAAAGGAAACACACCTCTGCTTTATTATTAAGAGAGAGATTACTTTACATGCACTTTCATGTACTTGTAATTTCACTTACCAATCATCTTCACCATGTACTTAGCTGTAAAAATCTACAGTAGAAAATATTTATCAAGGGTGAGTAATGCTATCAACCTGTTCTATTCCTGTGCTACCACTAGAGGGAGATTTTTTTGTTACGTTTTTTTTCAACATTTTGAAAATGAATTATATTGACTATACTTTCTAGCCATACTCTTGTACCTAATTCAATCTAACTTATATAGGGAAATATTTTACTTTTAAAATTTTACTTAGACAGAAAACTGCTCTGATTGTAATAATAGTGGTACAATAACACTATAGTTGGATTTCTGGGCAACATCACCGAAAAGTTGCGCGCACAGCCTTGTGGCTAAAGAAGGTGACAGATACGACAGCAGCATTGGCTGATGGTAAGATAGCCTGCATGATCAGAACTATTGAGGGTTTCTGTGAAATTTGTAGGGATGTTCGCCGTCCTAAACTAGCAAACACAGTACAGGTATAGTAGCCAATTATGACAGGTCATAAATCAAATAGCTTTAAACAAGTTAGCCCCGATCTGATCTACTTAAGAAGTTCATTTTAAAAAGATGACATGAAACCAAATGAAGCGTATAACTATTTAGCAATTTTCACGTATTTGTTTAACCATTCAGATAGTTAGCTCAGTTGTTTCAAAACTTTATGTATACACATTAGATAATACAGTTTATGGACTGACAGATTCATTGCTAGCTAACATAGGCTCATTAGGTCAAGCCGCTCTAATTATGCAAATAAAAAGCAAACACAAAACTCAGAGACATAGCGGTAGTTAAATATAGGATTTTACAGTATTATGGTAAATTTGGCATGCGTTCTCCATGTTTTGTCGTAATTGTATAGATTTTTATTACGACTGCAAAAAGGAGTAGCTCTGTGTTGTTCTGTTGTATAAAAGTAGCTCTCCAATTGAAAAAGGTTGGAGACCCTTGGCCTAGAATGAGTCAGGTGTGTGCGTGAATGGTTGGTGGTGGCACATACTGATTGCTTTGCCAGTGTGCCCCAAGGCAGATGTGGCCATAGTAGTTTATTGCCATTGTGTATGGAGTGAAAGAATATTGACGTCTGAGGGTGTCCAATAAACGCACTACATAAAACCGATGCATTATTATTATTTACTGGTAAAATGTTAGCTCTTTTTGAAAAACATCCTGCTTCCTCCAGACCCCTAAAACTTTGTCCCCCGTAACTCCCTGAAGCGCGTGAAGAGTAGCGATGTTGACGTGAGCTGACATGTTCCAGTTGGTCTCCTTGACAGGGATCAACAGCTTTTCAAAGCATCAGTAATTGGCGAGGGCAGCGTCTGGGGAGTCTCCACCTTTCTCTCATCCGCCACGTTGACAAGTGCACCCGCCACCACCGTCGTCGCGCGGCGCACTCTTTAGCGGTCATGAAATTCTTATAGGGGATTAATATGTATTTTCCCCCTGGTGAGTGTGACAAGGAGACAGGAACAGATGTTATTCCTTTAGGACCTCTTCAGTGCCGCTCCTCCCTCCCCGCTCCACGCATCTAATTTCTCTGCTGAGGCCGCTGTGTTTGCACATCGTTTACTTGGTTTTGGTTTTTATTTTACAGCAAGGATTTCAGATTTATAACACTGTAAAAAATATTACTGTTATATACTTGCAGTTAGTATTTTTTTCAAAAAATACATAATCCAAAATCAATTAAACTAGTTTATTTCACTCTCTCGCACACACACGCACACACACGCACGCACTTGCACACACACGCACACACACACACGCACGCACTTGCACACACACGCACACACACGCACACACACGCACGCACATGCACACACACGCACACGCACACACGGGCACACACGGACACAGGCCCAAACACTCGCTGACCCAACACCTCTCCCACATCGCTTTCTCCGTGCTGAGGGAATTACACTTTCTTTCAAATACTTCATTAGTTCAAGATTATTGAATGGAATAATATTTGGAAAATATCTTTGCAATTGTCTGCGTAACTGAAATATTACCCAAAAAAAAGTGTTTTAAAAGTGTTTTTAATCAAACATCCAATTTTTTGTTACATATAAAGATGTCCTTGAGTTGCATTGCTTTATCTCTGTTTTGTTCAAATTTATGAATCCTTTATTTAATCACTAGCCAATTAGTTGTGCATTATAAGTGCGTAACCAATTAATTGGTTTTGCACATATAACTATTACTTTCATCAAAGTATTAGTTATTAACAGTATTGTAAGTAAAAGCATTTGGTTTTTTTTTAATCAACAAAAACATTTTAGTCCATTGATCTGGATAATTTTATTTGGGGCCAACAATGAAAAGCAAAAGTTATTTTCTTGTGTGTACAGACTAGAGGAAATTTTTTGTAATGTTTACTCCCCAATTGTGTAGTTTTAAAATAGTATTAGAGGAGAGGATGACTAATTCAAATTTCCCTAACCCTAACTCTAACTAATTTTGTGTTTGATGAAATACTGTTTCATAATGATAACAGTTTTTTATAGAACTATATGAGTCATAAAACCTCTTCTCAGCATGTTTGAGTCTTTGTAAGGTTAAGAAATATGTAATATAAAAAATCAATTACTAAATTACTAAAAACTACAAGAAAAAAAATTAACACAAAAATATTTATATAATTGATTAGTTTCTTTTAAGCAATTAACTCACAGGCCTAAGATAAATCATAAATAAATAAATCATCATAAATAAATAGATAAATAATTTTATAGCACAAGCAGCACTTCTGGTTTCCTTCGTATAGACTTCAGTCTATATATTTGAGAATGTATAGATTAGTTAGTTAGTATCACACATTTGTTGTGTGTATTTTCTTCTAATCTAACACAGTAACATTTATTTTCTCCCCAGATTTTGCCCTCATGTTGGGCGACAAGCTGCAGGTGGAAGTATCCTGCCACGACGCCTATCTGAGACTGTGCAGCGTGGCAGTGCTCCGAGACGGACACGAAATCCTGCTGGACGCTTCGATCCCAGACCAACCAGACCCCGGACCCAACCCGAACCCAGAGGCCCAACTTTGCAGCGCATTAGCAAGCCTCCAAACCGACCATAGCAAAGACTTCTGCCTCCTAGAATCTGCTGAAATGGCTCTTTTAAACAACCAGGACTATCACAGAAGCTTTCAAAGTGCAGTTTCAAAGTTATTCTCCCATTTAAAGCTGGCAAATCCACGTCATGTACAAGATTCTAGTGACCCTCTTTACGCACTGGACGTTTCCGAGGGCTTCTCCCTGCTGTCCCTAATCGCAGCCAGCCAGGGTCATGTGAAAGCTTACAGTTCGGTGGAGAAGGACAAGCAACAGGAAGTGCTCAAGAAGCTGGCCCGCTCCAACAACATCCCAGAACGGAGCCTGGAGTTTTGGCTCAACTGCACGGAGGACGACCAGGGCCCGCTGCAGAGGCCCCCCACTGAGAAGCTGTGGAGCGCCATCATGTTGGACTGTGTGGAGACGTGCGGGCTGATCAGGCAGAAGCTCATGGACAAGGCCTCACTTGCAAGGTAAATGATGGGGGGGGGTTCCAGGAGAGGCTGATGTGAGGGCTTCACTGTGTTTCTTTGTGTTTTAGAACGTGTACAAATGTAAATACTGAATTTACTGGTGTCAAAAGGAATAACAATATCAATACAATCCATTTAAAGAATATGTGTTCTGCATTCCATTAAAATTGACAATGACATTCTTTCCTTTGTCATCTCATGCTTTAGAGCTTGAAATAAAATCTTAGCCTATATCAGATTCAGATTCATGTATTAGCCTTTTCCAATAAAACCACATTGGAATACATTTGCAAAAATTCCCCAGTGTGCACAAGACAAGTACTTAAATAGAAGTGCTTTGTTTAAACTGATAACAGCTTGTGTAAAGAAGCTGTTCTCAAAGCGAGATGTCCTGAGATAGTTTTTAAATCAGGATTTAAAACTTCCTTTGCTACCATAGGAGTACCAGCTTCAACACAGCCATACAATTGTATATTGATAATAATAATGTATTTTTTAAAAGGGGATCCGCTTTTCAAACCTTCAAGGTCACCTTAAAGATAAAAACAATACATGTGGCCATAGGATAGTAAAGAACGTACATTTCACTTAAGAAATTTGATATAATTACATGCAGTAAAAGTTGCCTTTTAGACAGAAGGGTCTTCAACTTCTAGAATGTCCTCATATTAGCGTGGATGGATCTAAAAACAGCTCCAGGTCTGTGACTGATGAAGGAACGATGTTGTAACATGATTAAAAGATTTGTTGATTTTGCATATCTCCTCTAGCACAATAAAGAGACAATACATTTCTTTAAAAAGATAGAAAGCTACTACATTATTTCTACGTTTTCTTAGTAGCTCTGTGGGGGACAAATGTTGGAGACCCCTGATGCACTGTATGTAATGAATAGTTAATAGTAGTTAATATGTGGTATGTCTTGCAGGTGTTTGCTGGAGGAAGGAGGAAGAATATTTCCGGAGAGGATAGTGGTACATGGGATGCTGGTGGAGTCCGACATGCTGCTGCTGGAGAGTGCCGTCCAGGGAAAAGAGCCCACACTGGGGTTCAACATCGCCCCTTTTATCAACCAGTTCACCGTGAGTGCTCCTACACGTTTCACTTTATATTTATTTAATACTGCCATGTAAATTTGACTTTATACATATTGATTTTTACATAATTTGTTGTCATGTGCGTGTGTGTGTGTTTTGTGTTTTGTTACAATTTAAGAGAGAATACTTTTGTTTTAAAAGCCAAAAAAGGCCCTGTTGATAGCGTCATAGTCTAAAGACTCGTCATCTATAATTATAAAGGTGTCTCTCTTTTTTAGTAAAGCTGAGGTACCTAACTTTTGAACTGTAAAACAATGGAACGATGTAAAAAAAATTTGTGTAAAGTTCCCTCGCTCTAAAAACAATATAAGATAAGATAAACTTTGCGTTCCATCTATTTTTGCATTGCCACATCTTTCTATCCGCTTGTTCAGACAGAAAAAATTAAAAACGGAGAACCACCCTCACGCAGCCTAAAGTGTCTAAAGCCCAAAGCGTCACATATTGACTCACAGGGCTCTTTCTCACAAGTATCCAAAAGATAACATGTGTTCTAAAAAGATGAAAACAGAATGGTTGACAAGGCGGTGGAGTGGTTAGCACTTATGCTTCACAGGAAGGTCCTGGGTTTGATTTCTTCAGACCTTTCTGTGTGGAGCTTGTTTTGCTCTGGTGTCCTCCGAGTGCTCCGGTTTCCCCGACCAATAAAACATAGACTACCGGAGACTGCAATTCCCCTTCGACTCCCGTGTCCCCTCTTTCTGGGGCCAGGACTTTCTTGGTTAAATACAGGTCAGAGAAGGTCAAGAAGAATGTTTGAAGAAGTTTGAACAAAAAAGTTAGGTTTGGTTTATTATTCCTTTTGAATAGTTGCACATTTCCAACTTTCAAGCTGCATTATTTAATATTAAGCTTGACATAATTTTCCTCGCTCTGAAACAACACATGAACCTAATGTTGTTAAATAAAGTAACTTGATCCATGCTCTTGGCTCCAGCTGCGAACCCCTGTTTTTCTTCTGTCTTGTGTTCTATATCTTCATGATGCAAGCGCCTGCTCCCTGTGTTCCCACTTCACACACTTGCATCACCCTGGCTTTATTCTGACCATTACGTGCAAATGCTAGGAATGGGAGGTGGGAGGGCTCCAGTTAAACACCAGCGCTATATAAGTCCAAACTATTCCTGCAGCAGAAATGAGATGTTGAGTGTGTAAGTCCACCACACGCTGAAGAGATCGCTTTGAAGTTTAGGGGTTGGAGGAAAAATACACACAAATGAAATCTCTTGGGATTCTTTGTCTTTATTTGGAGCTGAAAGTATATCCCCCCCCCCCATCCAAATTTCCTAGAGCTGTCTGTTTTTTTGTTTAATATATGTGTGGGCAGTGACTCTTACAGCTACTACCTGAAGACTTTGACTTTAGAGCTTCACAAAACATAGACCTGGAGTTGTTTTGAGCGAATGCTGATATGAGGAACTATCGGCAGAAACGTGTAACTCTGCCCCCTCTGTCTGAAAAGTTCCTGTCTCAATCCTGTAATAGTTTGATGTCTTTGTACCACTAGGAAATCACGCTTAGAGCAGTTTTCTGTCTTTTAAAACGGACGTAGTGCCCATAAATTAGTTTAGGCAATTTCTCCGCTGAAATTATGTTCTTTGCATGTCTGTGTTTGCAGCTGGTGCTTTTTGAATTAGGAGGTCAGCAGCATTATTTACTCATGACGGGGGTAAAGAAGCTGCTTTTGTTTTCGAATCGACTTGAAAGAGATGGACCTGTAGCGCCTCCCGGAGCTCACGGGTGTGTGCAGATGACGTGCTGGGTGTATGTGTGGGTGTGTGTTTGTGTGTATTCTGGAGTGATTCTGCGGGCTCTCACAGTCGGGCGTTACTGGAGATATTTGATGACTTATTTGTGATGCGTTGGAGTGAGCGAGAATCTGAGTTACCACACCAGACTGTTATCGATAAAGTGAGGATGCCTTCGATCATGGCTGTGTAGAAGTGAGTTAGAATGTTGTGAATGAACCGGAACTTTTTGAACTGTCTGAGGAAGAAAAGTGTTTCCTTTATGTGAATTTTGTTTACATAACAGACAGACACATCAACATTCAACAAGAACACAACATAAAACAAAGACAAGACAAAAAAAACTGTACACAAATAGACCCATGTAAAAAGTACACAAACAAACTGAGGTTGTTAAACGTTAAATTGAGACTCCATGGGTGTGGGTGCTGTGGTGTGTGGAGTGCGGCATTTTTGTTGATCCGAATGATCTTCTAGTCGAAAGCTACCTCTAAGTGAAACCTGCCCTTCACCGTTGCTGCCCCTTTTGTTTGTGTGTTTACATTGTTTTATTATACAATTTCTTTGTTTTTGTTAATTAATTGGTTAATTTATATGAGTGTGTAAGGTGCATTAAAAAGGCTTGTTTTTAAATATCCCGTTTTATTCCTTCTGGCACTCTGGGCTCTTATAAATGTGTGATATATTTCAACTTGACTTTGAATGAAAATATAAGATCCACTTTTATGTTGGTCTCAGGTGCCGGTGCATGTGTTTCTGGACTTCTCCACCCTGGACTGCAGACACCTGAGTGAAGCTGCGGAGCTCTTCGTCCTGGACCTAATGGACACCAATGCAAACTACACCACGAGACAAGTCAAGGTAAATTCTATTTGGATTGTATTGGTTTTTGACTAAGCACAAATTCCTTCTTCCAGGTGTGTTTATGTGAACAGCAGAGAGAGACGATATGATACTTTACGGGTCAAAATTAACTTAACATGCCAAAGTTGTCGATTTGCCAACAACAGATCAGAAAATCAAACAAAACAGGTTTTATGGACTTAATATTTTGAATCCATCAAGATTTAGTAGGAACGTTATTGTCAACATAGATTTGTGCTTTGATCATAAGTAGTAATAATAATAATAATGCATTGGTTTTATATAGCGCTTTTTTGGACACTCAAAGACGCTTTACATGTCATTATTCTTTCACTCCATACACGGTGGTGATAAACTACTACTGTAGCCACAGCTGCCCTGGGGCACACTGACAGTGACATCAGCCCCTCCGACCACCACCAACCATTCACACACACACCAGACTCATTCTAGGCAATGGGGGTGAAGTGTCTTGCCTAAGGACACAACAGCAGTTTGGCAATTTACAGCCGCAGCCGCCCCACTGTGGCATCAGGTGTTCCCAGAGGTTAAGTGTCTTGCCAAGGACACAACGACCGCAGACATCAGTCGGAATCAATGGTGAAATTCTTGTGGTGGGCTCAAACCCACGACCCTCTGGCTCAAAGGCCAATGCTCTACCAACTGTGATCTTAAACCTTTGGCTTGTATTCAATTTTTGGCCTATATGTGCACAAAATTAACTTTCTCTTAAAACTGTAGCTGTTGTGGTTTATAATATAAACCCCAACATATAATATAAACCACAACAGCAAATACTTAGTCCAGCAAGTACTGGACATATTCCCTTTTTTGTGGTTTGAAAGTTAGGTAGATAAAACCACATTTTATTAATATAGTCTCCCAATATAATTGCGCCCCCAATGTAAAAAGAAACGTTTTGTAAACACTTTTTTGCTGCCAGGTCAAGGTTACGAGCGCTGGGAGAGTGACGGCCATTCCCTTCTGGTACGACATCTACCTGTACGAGGACATCAGCGTGAGCACCCTGAGCCACAACTCTCACTGGAAGCAGGCCGCCGTGGTTCTGCAGGAGCCGCTGCAGGTCCAGGCCGGGGACTGGATCAGCCTCTGCGTCACCCTGCACAAGAGCACCATGTCCATATCTGCTCAGCCGGACAACCAGCCTCAGCCCATGGACTAGAGTCACGCTGTGGCCCGCGCTGGCATCTTAGAGCGAATGAGGGTGACATAAAAGCTGGGGTACCTCAATTGTTATCACATTTTTAATACATGTTATTTGTTCCGACAGAATGAGTTTTGTCAAAGTGCAAGGAAGAGCTAAGTGAGTCACTGTTAGGGTCCGCTCTTTTTCACTTTTCTGTCTGAAAAAGGACAAAAATGTGTGAGACTAGTGCACGATGGGGGAACAGTGGCTGAGGGGTTAGCCAGAAGGTCCTGGGAGTTCGATTCCATCTCCAGACAGTGCTTTTCTGAGTGGAGTTTGCATGTTCTCCCTGTGTCTGTGTAGGTTTTCTCCGGGTGCTCACATTCTCCCAACCACAAAAGTCATGTGCAATAGCTCTCCTCTCTCTTCTGAAATATTCTGAAATATCAGGTGGACCTTTTGGGGTAAATAAAGATTGATAAATAAATAATAATAGTGATGGACCCAAACTTGTTGGATGGATTTTATTTCATAGTTATATTTTTTTGTAGTTTGAAAGTTAGGTACCCCAGCTTTTAACTAACCAAGCAATTGGTCACAGCCACTCACATGAGCCACATTATAGTCTAGGTTTTAAATGCTGCTAAAGATCCATTTGCTGTATTTACGGTCATTTTATTCCACATTTGTGTCCTACATCTGAATGATCATTTAGGACACATGTGTCAAAGTCAAGGAATGAATTTTACACGGCCCGTTGCCTGCCATTGACGTACTATTACGTCAATTGCGTTTACCGCTCTTTTCATGTTCCCAGATGTCTATTATATCTAATATGTTTGGGGATAAGCTTGAGAGCATATTGAATTGAGCCAGCAGGTGGCAGCAGCGCTCTCTGAATGGTTTGAAAACAGCTAGATGCACTTGTTGTGCCTCTTTTTTCTCAGCTTTTTGGTGATTTCAGTAAAACTTCCCTCTACTCAACTGGGGATTACAAGCTAGAAACACAATTATTTTTGCTGATGAAAGTAGACAGTCTATTCTTTCAGAATCTGGTTTCGGATTTCAGATAGTCATAGTACACAATATTCTGTGGGTCTTGAAAAATCTATAAAAATCATCAAAAACTGCTGGCAATATGGGAGTACCTGTTCTGAAATAGGCTGGCAGGCAATGAGTTAATAAACATTGAACCAGTCCGGCCCTCGGCTTGCAGCAAATTTGTTTTTTTGGCCCTCTGATGTATTTGACTTTGACATGCCTGATTTAGGACGACTATCGAAAGTGTAGTCGGTAACTACAGTGATTTCATTTTCCCTGTTTTAGACCTGGGATTGATGTGGTCAGTTGTTTTCGGAAGTGGCACTTTGTTTAATATTGTAGCGTCTAATGAGACTGACATGTTCAAAATCTATAGAAATAATGGCCCTCATGTATGAAAGTTGCGCAGAAAACGGTATATATTTTTGGTGTATATTCCATTTACGCCAGACTCAACGCGGGATTTATGAACGTGTGAGATACGCACATATCTGAGCGTACGCATACGCAGCTGTTGATAAATGCCGCGATAAAGACTAGCGTATTTATGAAAGTCACGCCTAGAAATATTCAGAAAACGCCCCGTTTTTACGACAGCTCAGGATGGAAGCCGGCCAGCAAGTCTAGTTGGAAACCTCAGGAGGCCTGTTAGTGACACACACTGAGTTTATATTGAGTTTTATTGTATTATTTTGTCAAAAAAGTGTTTTCCCTAGTGTCTAGACCCACTGCAGCGCATCTCTTTAGAAATAAATGAATGAATGAATGAATATTAATATCTCAGCGGTGACTCTCATCTGGGTCAAGCGTCAGCGACATCTTCTTGTGAATGCAAGAAGATGTGTCCCCCTCTGTGGCACCTGCTGCACAAGCTCACTGCGCTCTGCCCGTGAGCTCGTTCCAAAAAAAACAAAGAAAAGGACTTTGCCATATCTCTGCCATCGCTGCGTTTATGGGGCTTCATGCACAAAACTAAGGAGGAAATATGTTGCTTTGCCAGAGGTGAATGAGACAAAATAAATAGCCATGCGAAATTACACAGGGTCTTCCACAGATTTACTGAGAAATCGATGGTCACACATTAAATAAGTAAGTAAGTAAGCCAGGTGTATTCGTATAGCGCCTTCACAGAGCAGGATCACAAAGCGCTTCACATTAAAAATAAAAAATAAAAAGTCAGATTTTAAAAAACGAAGAAACAGAAGAGGGTCCTCATCATGAACGTATCATGAACTGTGATTTATTCTAAATGTGCGTGTTTCCAGAGTGTTAGAGTTTTTTTGATGCGCAAATTAAAATTCCGAAACATGATGCTCAAAGAAAACGCATCTTATAATTTTGCCAGAGTGGGAATATGTTTATTGTTGTCCGAATCTTGCATTTCATGCGTGTTTTGGGGTGTTGTAATGAAGGGTGAAATGAGCGTACACATATACACCACCTCCAGACATGGCCTATATTCTGTGCGTACCGTACGCTCACTTCCAGATTGATAAATGCCGAAAAGTGTAAATTTTTTGCGTACGCCACATTTACACCCTGATTTGGCGGTACGCAAGTTTCATACATGAGGGCCATTGTGTGTATTGGTTCACATTTCCTTGGAAGAAAACCTCCTTTATTTCATGGAAAGCAAATGTGAACATTCTGATGAAATAGGCTACAGAGTAACATTTCTCGTCTTTATTTTTTTATACTTTGTGTGTTATACTTTGGATTGCCACTCTTGTGCTATCAGTGGGATATGTTCTCATTGATGCAGTATTGTTGATAGAAAAGAGCTCTCCTGATCATTATTACAAAGTGCTGCTCTGTCAGACCTTACTACAGCCTTGTCTATGAACAGCTGCAGGTCACAGTGACAAGCATTTTTCATTTGTGCCAAAATGGGAAGACTGCTGAATCCTTCAGGTACTAGGAAAGGTACTAGGACTACCAAGTCAGGGCTGTGAGATGTATCGCAATCACAATCTGGAATTATAAATACCCAGTCTTTGGTTTGAATTGTTTGATTTTCTAATCTGCTGTTGGCAAATTAATAATTCTGTGACGCCCTTCGAGACGACTGCGGCTGTGAATTTGGTTTATAGAGAAATCTTATAGTAGAGCATCCAAAAAGTCTTCTTGGACTCAGGTTTGCGTAATATCTAACCTAGAATTTGAATTACTCCAAATACAAACCAACAATTTTGAGCCAGTTTAACTTTGAAGAATTATTGTCTAGTAATTTTGTGTTGGCCACAAAAATTGAATCATGATTGCAATCACGCAGCCCTAAAACAAGTACAGCAAAAAGTCATGTGCACAGGTGAAACTCTGAAAATTAAAATAATGTTCAAAAGTGCATTTATTTCCATAATTCAACGTACAATGTGAAGCTGATATATATTATAGACTCACATGCAAAGCCTTTGTGTGTGTTTTGTTTATACTTTATTGTCCCCATAGGGAAAAGTGTCCTCTACATTTGACCCATCCACATTGCGCTAGGTTGGTCACTAGCAGAGCAGGATGATTATACCTATTGTACATGTTTAGTAGTTCAGGGAAATGGAGAACCTGAAGGAAACCCACAAAGACATGAGGAAAACATACAAACTCCGCTCAGAAATGCCCTGGCTTCAAATCTAGGAGCTGCTAACCTCTCAGTCACCATGCCTCCCCCGCTGTGTAAGCCAGGTCTTTACAAGTTTTGAGCCAATTATCAATAGTATAAGTCTAATGAGTTTGTAAGAGAGGTAAATGGACTTTTGAATGATATTCTAATTCTCTGAGTTTCGCCTGTATGTGACATACAGAGGAAGAGAACAGAGGTATCTGTTAACATGCATGTATCACTATAAATATAAAAAGACGGGAAGGCAAATCTAGAGAAGCAGGGGTGTATATAGCCTGGCCGTACCACACCACAGTGCAAATTACGGAGTGTACGGATGGCTACGGCCAGGCTAGGGTGTATATAGTCTGTACATAATTATTATTATGCAAGTTTCCTTTTTGAGGATATTTTTGTTGTCAATAACAGCAGTTCTTTTGATCCATCCAAATGAGTGCTGTCACTTATGCCTTACTCTTTGTCCGTAAAAGCAGGTTTCATCTTTTCCTCTACCGATTATGTCTGTGATGTTATGGGAAAAACAAAATAATGTGCAGAGATATTATGCAATTCGAGAAACCCATGCATTTCTGCTTCCATGTGTTTATTATTTTTACTAAAAAACTAAAACATAAAAAGTCTCATGTTTTTGTGCAATGCTGTGCTGCCCAAAGTTAAAAACAGTGTTACTACTAATTCCTTGAAAGAAAGTCAGAACAAAGTTTGTCAAGATTTATTCAAGATGTACGGCTGAATAAACTCTCACGTGAAACTGCGCCTGTGTTGTCTCTTTTACAAAAATAAAATAAGGCAAATGCAACATGCGCTTGTAGTTGCTTGTGATGCACTATAGGCCTAAAGGGACATACAGTATATTCTTTTTAAATCTACGTTAGTATGGATATCTGCATGAATCAATATACGTTGCATAAGCTGAAGCTGCATTAGTGATATCTAAAAAATTCAGTTAACTAAAATAAAATAAAAAAACAATAGTATACAGAGATTTAGTGTCTCTGCTAAATCAACATCAAAGTTCTATATAATAATACCCAATAAGATTCATGTAGTATTAAAACAGCCCATCACAAGGTAGTAGAAACAGTGATTCATGAGGACTAGACAATCCCTAACCATGTGGGAGGTTTGCCCAAGCCACAATGGGGTACCCAACCTATTAATTGAAAAAAATATATACATGTTGTTAGTCCCAATAGAAAGAGTCTTGTATAAGTAAAATGTTGTGAATAAATCAGACCACAACATGCTATCTTGTCTTCAACTTTTTAGAATAATATAATCTTTTGCTCTATGCTTTGGGTTGAGAGCTGATTGGCTGAGTCAGGGTGGTCCTCTCTTTCTCACTTCTCTGTCTGGCCCTAATTTGACATGCCTGCTTTCCAGTATTGCTACTCTATGTGGCTGAGAAAGATATCAAAAAGGAGAACTTGGACTTGTACTGGATTCCTTTTATGTGAAATAAAACATTGTTGTGTAGAAGGACTTTAAAATTGGCTGCACCCACAAGTTATATCCCTGCTGTTCTACAAAATGTGAGCAAAAGTTACACATTACATCACAACTGTCATTGCATCCCGACAGAAATTGAAAGTAAAAATGTCAAATGATGTGGATCGACTGGTCTGGGAAGGCCTTGATAATGTATGAACAAAACAACACACATATACGACATATCTCTGTACTGTGCTCCAGCTTCTACCATACACATTGAAAAACTCTCCCATTGACATTCTTGAGCTGTCATTTTTTTCCGTCAGTTCAAAAATAAAAGCGTCTATTCATTTATCGCTATGAGATCGCCCTCTGCTGGCTCTCTGCTTTGGTCCGTGCGAGGCGCCTCCTCCTGGGAGTCTTCCACCGTGGCCTCGTAGCCCTCGTCCCAGTGGGCAGAGCTGAGTCCCGCGGGGGCCGAGACGGAGTGAGGGGTGTGAGTCCGGCCCAGGCCCTCGTACTGACCCTTGGAGGAGGAGTGGGACAGCTGCTCCGTTATGGCGTCTTGAGAGGCGGAGGACAGGAGGCCGGAGCGCTCGCTGTCGTTTTCGTCCTCGCCGAAGTAGGATTTCCTGGGACGGCCCATAACTGTTCTCCCTGTGAAGTTCACATTTGTTTAATTACAAAAGAAAGGAGGCCGTGTGATATGTATGTGCACTGTCATCATTTAGACTCTTTTGATCGTTCAAACTGGAGTACCTACCTTTTGTTAATCAATGAATAATAATAATGATCGGCCACTAATCGATAACACTGGGTAACAAAAAAATATTTTTTGAAAATAGTCCAGGGATTTCCAGCTGAATTAGACTAATTTTGATGCCCTGAGTCCGAAAATGACCTTGGTTTTGCTCAATCAGGTCAGGATGTTTTGAAACAGAAATATATTTTTCAATCGATTTTGCGTAAAAAACAAATTTCTGCGGATCATCAGCTGAGAAACCCTTTACGTTTTTTCCGTTTTCCTCAAAAAATAAAAGTCAACGTATCCAAAGTCATTCAGTTTTTATTTACTCCATCAAATTTGATAAGCAGAATTCATAATAACGTAGACGTACATAATCCGTAACACTATGGCTGCATCTCAAAAAGTTGACCTGATTCGGACTCAGAACACCAAAATTAGTCTAAATCAGTTGAGAAACCCCTGACCATTTTTTGGCTGTCAACTTGTGTAATCAATATAATCGTTACAACATTGTATACATTTAGTCTTGTTTAAGTAATATGTCGTGAACAAATCAGACCACAACATGTAGTCATCAGTAGAAAACATTTTATCTTTTAAATGCTGGGAGGTGATTGGCTCAGTGAGGGCTGGTACTCTCCTTTTCACCAAAAAAACCTTAAGATGTGACAGGCAAAAAATACATTCTAAGACGAGTAATAGGACCATACATTTTCTCAAAACTTGTTACGTGGATTGTCTCAGAGTTGATTTATTGTGGTTTCAAAGTTAGGTACTGCAGCTTTAATATGCAAGTAAGTCAAATGGTTAAGGTATACTTTTGACCCATTGTTGTCCATTGTCATTACACTTGAAAAATTCAGTCAAAATTCTCCTTTCCACGAGTCAAGCGATCATTTCTGTGCAAAAATTTGTCTTTAAATTTTAGCTATAAATTCAATGTATTTTGTATTTGAATTATAGCTAAAAATCCATGAACTAACATCAAATGCATCAATTATCAGATCTACTGTTGGACTATACTGGTCATCTGATATGATTCATGTTTGTCATCACATAATCAGGCTTCTTGCAATCCGCTAACTGTGGTAATTGTGAGGTAATTGAGAAGCCTTGACATCACTTACCAACATTGCGAACCTGCTCCGAAATGTCGGCCCTGACGTCGGATATGTCCCACATGGCCATGAAGGAGTCGAAGCAGGAGCCCTCCTCAGCCTCCTGGATGTACGGCTTGTACGTGAAGCTGAAGTGGTGTGCGATGGCCGCCAGGAACATCTCCACACAGATCACAAAGTCCTGCACACAAAACGGTTCAGTGTGCTGATCCAGGAGCAGGAGAGCTGCTGTGACCAGGGCAGATGGAGTTTGGAGTTAGGCTGCACCCAAGGGTCAGACATTGTTCCATTCCCTCCACTCACAGTGATGACGAATGCGAGACGTCGAACACACTGCCTCATCAAAGCCCCCAATCAACACCATCCATTCACTCACTACAATCATACCGATAGAGAGGCCGATGGCACAAACTGCTTGTCTCGCTTACTTCAGTTTGCCCCAGGGCAGCTGTGGCTAATATGGTAGCGTGTAACTTGAAAAATTGAGTGTTTTGGTGTAATGAAAATTTTATAAATACACTTTCACTCATGTCTAGTTTCTATCTGTAGTCCCCTGGGGCAGGGGATAAAAAATACCAACATACAGACCAGGAAAGATCACAAACAATATGCACAATTAAGACAATATGGTAAGACAGTTCAACAGACATAAGGTCAATTTATACTTCATAAGTAGTAAAGACTTTTATCTTTTATCTTGAGCTACAATAACCAATGGCGTTTTGTTCTTACAGCTTGTTTTATTTATTTATTTATTCGTCCATGTGATCATATTACTTACACATATCATATATAGAGATTTCTCGTGTGACGTCACAAGGGTTAGAAGTTGCGAGGCCTCCGCCATGTTGGAGGAAAGGCAAATGCTGTATGGTAGTGGCGTGCACCCGGGACCCCATAAACATGTTCAAATTTTGTGCCGTTTTTAGCAGCAGCAAAAAGGGAGACAGGGGCAATAAGTTGTGTTACCGACTGCCAGCTGTCCTTACTTCACACGGCTCAAAAACAGAAGAAATCTCCAAGAAACGAGAGAGAAATGGCACAACAACAAAAAACTAACAGCCTCCAGAGCGTCCAAATATGCTCGGATCATTTCATTTCTTCTAAGTAAAATTTATTTGGTGGCGGACTTAATGTTATTCCGAAACAATCCAAAGTTTAGACTTATCACTGTCTGACTGCAACGTGGGGTTGCTCTCTTACCAGACCTCACCCAGCTCACAGGGTATCTGACAGCAGACATGTGAACGACTGAGCCGTGCTCGGGGCAGGGTGCCCCGTACTAATACACGTGCACAGAGGTTATCAGAATTTTCTGTTCACGTTTTCATGACAAAAATACTGTTTTAATGCAACCGTGGAAAACCCGGAAGTAAATATTAACATTAATAATACATTTTAGGACGCATCTGCAGAGGATCAGATTCATGAATTTAGGTTGAGTATATATTTGGGTCACTAACTGCTGATTTTTCGAATTCTTTGTTCAGTTTTCATGTAGTTCGAGAGAGTACTAGTTTTGAACGTCCAGTCATAAGTAGCTGGCATGGCTGTTACTCGCCGAGGTTGTCCTCCAGTATGGCCGCCGTGGTTACTAGTCATGTGACCGTAGGATCCTATTGTCATTACATTTGCAAAACATGCACAAACAGGAACAGAGGGAAGGCACAAAGTTTTACAGATCCTGCCCCTAGTTAGTGTTGCTGGTTACAAAGACATTTTAAGATTTTAACCCCCAACATGTGTTGACTTGGAGTATAGGCTAATACTCCTACATACTACTAAGATGTATGTTCTAGAAATGACAAAGATGAAGCATTATTGTCATGAAGTATGCATTGACCTAGATGCTAGACCAGGGGTGCTCACACTTTTTCAGCATGCGAGCTACTTATAAAAGGATCAAGTCAAAATGATCTACCTACTACAAAAATGCAAATCATATATTTCAAAAAATATTCTTTATATCTACAATGTATGTTTATGTACATGCAAAACCGCATGAGCCAATATAGCACAACACAACACAATTACCTATGTACATTTTTTGTCATTACCCGAGTTTACTCTTATGACTTGCACTGAATTGAATCGGCCAGGGATGCATAGTCCGGAAAATTGGTGGTAACTCGCTGACAAGTTTGTCGTGGTTTAGCTTTCCTGCACTGAGCGCGGTTGTTTGCGCATGTGCAGTCACCTAAGTGTCAGTAAAACATTACTGAGTAAAACACAGATGTCATTTGACTGTGGTGCCATGTCCATGTGCCATGCCTGTTTTTTTAAATCCAAATATTTCCCCTCCTCCGTTTATAAAATAATTTGCATCCACACATCTGCGTTATCAATCACATTCGTAACATTCCAAACATGTGCGTCTCTTACGTCCTGTCCTGCGTTGGGGAAAAACACAGAAGTGGGCGGAGCTTTGATGCAGACGCCGGTAACGGCACTTTTACAGTCATAGAAGACACTCAGAGTAAAGACGTATGTTTACAAGCACTGACCCCGTCCTCAGCCCTGGTTTAGTCCTGGTTTAGTCCTGGTTTAGTCCTGGTTTAGTCCTAGTTTGGTTGTTTTCGAGCGTGAGTCCCCGCGATCACTTTGCTGCTCTCTGATGTGGAGCGAGGATGTTCGCTGCTGCGAGCGTCTCACAGCGAACAGTTTTTAATGTAGTATGATCCATGCTTCAGTGATCAGAGGAATTTAGGGGGGTACTGTGGCGTGCGAGAACGCAAAACTCCGTTAATGCATTTGTGTGTAGACAGAGATAACCAGAGTTTTCAAAAATCTCCACTTTGCCCGGAGTTTTTTGTATATATTTGTTTAGAATGTGTAATTTTTTATTTATTTAATGCGATCTACCAATACTACCTTTGCGATCGACTGGTAGATCGCGATCGACGTATTGAGCACCCCTGTGCTAGACATACGACAGCAATCATAATCAGTTAAATCTCAGTGCCATAAAAACACACACTTTTTACTTTTTATTACGATTTGAATCAGGGTTTCGGTCAATCACTTTCGGTTTCCTTGTGATAACTGACATGTATTTTTAGATAAGGTGCCTCCTTATCTAAAAGTAATTATTGCTTCAATACATTGAACGTATTACCTGCAAACCCGTGGCTACCGCTTCCACGTTGTTCCAATCCCAGGTATGACTCTCTGAGATGACTCCTGCTTTCACCAGTAAGGCAATAAACACAGCTTGCCTAAAAAAATATATATAAAAGAGATAAAAAGTGTTGTTATCTTTGCTTACTAATACAATGTGTTTCCCAATCACACAAAAACTAGAAATGCTATCACCAGAAAGACACAAAGACCACCATCTTGACGCAGAGGAACTTTCCGACCGGTCTGATGGGACTCAGCTCGTCTCTCAGAGCTCGGTAGAACAGCACCAGGCAGTACATGGCAAACTACAAAGCGATACACAACTTTAAACTTTCAAATATGTTATAACTGTGGATGCGATATGTTCTTCTTTCCATTACCAGCTGTGACATGTTGTTGACGATCACAAGATAAGTCCATGCGTTTTTGGAGCTGAAGTTTCCCTCGTGGTACACGCCGCAGAGTTGACAGATCCTAAATGAGAAACACACTTGTGAAGTAGATATTGAATACATATACAAGTGATAAGTAAGTTACTCACAAAGCAATTACTGTAGTGACGGGTCTGACCACGGTGTACTGCAAAACTCCAAGCTTGCACCTCAACAGCAGCACCCTGAACAGGAAAAGAAGCATTCATCTACATTGATCACAGCATTCCAATGGGACTATAGACTAATATTGTGGTGGAGGGCAGCTGGAAAACCTGTCCTGGTGACTATGGTAACCGTCAAAAGTCACATTTCTAGTTCAAAGCTAATTTCGCTGTAATTCCTGGGCCAATCCACATGAAACAAAAACTGTCAAAAAGGTCCACATTTTGACAATATTCAAAAGACATTAACATCGGTCTAATATATGGCAGGTTTGTGAATCGAATCCAATCAAATAATGATCTGGGAAAACGTTTGGACGGTTTCTTTTCAACATTTCACTCAAAAATGAGTTAACCCCAGCAGGTGGATTACATCTCATTTTAGACATCATGCTTAGGAGCTAGGTGTGTCACAATCCAACTTCTATTGGATTGTCAATTTCTTTTTTACTTTATTACACAACACAGTAATTATGGCATACAGCCCCTTTAAAAATAATAATAATAATAATAATGCATTGGTTTTATATAGCGCTTTTTTGGACACTCAAAGACGCTTGACATGTCATTATTCTTTCACTCCATACACAGTGCTGATAAACTACTACTGTAGCCACAGCTGCCCTGGGGCACACTGACAAAAGCGAGGCAACCAGTATGTGCCATTGGCCCCTCCAACCACCACCAACCATTCACACACACACCAGACTCATTCTAGGACACAACGGCAGTTTGGCACTTTACAGCCGCAGCCGCCCCACTGTGGCTGGTGTTCCCAGAGGTTAAGTGTCTTGCCAAGGACACAACAACAGCAGACAGTGGGAGTCGATGGTGAAAGTCAGGCTCGAACCCACGACCCTGACTCAAAGTCCAATGCTCACCAACTGAGCTACTGTCGCCCCCAAAAAAGGAATTTGCCGTTTTTTTCAATCAAATTCCTTGTATTTTTTTGAAAATGAAAAAATTAGTCGATTAATATTATACCAAAGTCCAACAGCCCTAGTTTTAACTTCACTGGAATATGTTTAAAATGGTTGGAAATGGTTTGAGTACACACAGCAGCATGGGTATTCTCCGGCTGAAATGCAACTCTCTGTTGAATGAGGAACAACGGATTGAAAAAAATTCTATTTATTTGTTATTGAAACTTTTTTTTTAGCTTTATAATAGCTTTTTTTGGAATTGTGATTGGAAACAGAGATATGAACATGTGCATGAAACCCCGACCAATAACTTAAAATGGTGGATCCTATCGTCTTTAACGGCTGCTTATCCAGATTCTCTGACCTGTGTTGGTGATTTCAATGGTTTTGTTAAGTCCTCTGAGATGACTTCTGTTGTGACCTAGGGCTATACAAGAATAAATTGTATTGTATTGTATTGTATTAGATCTTCTGGCTAATCTTTAACTGATGACAGCAATTTGACTGGTGCAATGTCACAAGATGAAGCAATAAAAGAATAATGCCATATCCGCTGCGTGCACAAGAATAAAGTTTATATAATCAAAAATGCCAAGGTTAATCATTGGGCATGTTGATTAAAAAACATGATTCCCATAGAAAATAGCAGATCACTTATATTCAAAAATCACTGCTTTCATTGACCTAAAACAACATGTAGAGCAAGCTGAAATATTTTAGTCTTCCCAGTAAATAAATTTGGCCCAATCTGTGTGTTTGTGTGTGTGTGAGAAACTGAGATCCGAAAATAAAGTCTTTGGAGGGGCTCTAATAAGGGCAGAGAACATGGACAACACAACCGCACACAATTTGGCTTTTCCCACACACTTTGGAACCGTAAATAAAAATACAACTGCTGTCCTTCATCCAAATCATAGTCGGGCAACACCTTGGTTATGTTGACCGTTTTATTTTCGGTTTCCATCCACAGCGTCATGTCTTATCAGTAATTCATTTCAGAGAAGATAAGATAAGATAGACTTTATTGATCTCACACAGGAGACATTTTCCTGTCACACCTGGCATGGATATAAACACTCAAGATTGTGCAAACATGTTATGATATATTGTATACAATAAAGAAGGTCCCTACACAATTAGGATATCTGACTACAATAATTCAATCCACATTCCCGGGTCTGCTTGCATTTTTCTCGATAGATTTGAATTGGTCATGGTCAGTTATCTCATGTAAGCACACTGAATATTTTAATGTTTTGAAGTTATCAGAAAACAACGCTGTTCATACTAAAATAGTGAGGGACCACTTTAATGCGGTATATCTTTCAAATGATAGTGGATAATTATGTGAGTATATTATATCTGAATAGAAACTCACTCTCCCATAGGCCACGGGGGACAGCAACAGAGGGGGGGTAGGTGCTTCTGCTGCTCCTGGACCTCCAGCATCATCACCAGACTGGGGTACTGGTTCTCCAAGTAGTTTAGCAGGAACGTCATGAAATTATAGATGACGAAGGCCTCGTAGCACTCCCTGCATGTGTCCACGTAAATGGCTATGTTGGGATACTTGAGCGCAATCCACTGGAAAACCAAATGAATAATAATAATGTTACTACTTTTTCAATATATAAGTTCTTTGGACTGGTATGAAAATGTTACGCACACTGTCCACGCTGTAGATTGGGACCATCCATAATATTCTGAAGAACAACATATAACAAAACATGACGAATTAAATGGAGGGAATCAAGGTTGCAGCTATATGATTGACACAGTTGTATTACTGCTTACCTGATAATAGGTTTTTGAAGTTCAGGCTGGGTGTAATGCACTAAATGCTGGAGGATCCCCCATAATGATATAGGTATGGTCATGAAGACAAATATGCCAGCAATAAACCAGGCTTTATTGTGAGTTCCAACCTGTCATAACACAAACAAAGAAAGAATGCAATTTTAAGATTCAAGATTTGTTAAAGCCTTTGTCAACCTATGCCTCGGGGCATTTTGCAGGATTTCGCAAACGCTCACGTTCGGCACAGATTCTTTAAGTGTTGCACAACGTGTTTACGTCACAAATCCTATACGTGCTCTGTTCTGGACCGGCTTTTTTTTTTAAATACTCGCTACTTTTGTAAACCTCTTTGCACCTCACAATGGAAGACGACGCAAACAGCACTAGGCAAAACAGAGGAATTAAGAAGCATCAAAAGTCGTCTAAAGTGTGGGAGCACTTTACACTAAAATCAAAGGAAAACGCAGTAGTATGCACACATTGCAAAGTGGAGCTAGCATACCACAAGTGCGATGCTGCGACATATATCGAGAAAACATCCGAATGAGGGACAATCCAAGATGAGGTAAGTCAACTTTTACTATATAGAGTAACGCAAACGTAGTGCGTAAATGTTGATAATTATGAAAACTAGGGGGGTATGTTAATTGTCTCTCACTCATGCGAAAACTCATCAAACGCCGGCAAAGGGGCATGGTTGAAAACCATGGATCTACAGTATCTGTACTTACAATGTTGCTGCTTGTCGCCTTCAATTACCCTTTCAATTATAAATGCAGTGATGAAACAGAATGGTTATCAGTAGCCTACATAAGTACTTTTTTGACATTCACTACAATCCTAGAGCCTGGTATTGTTTTTTTAAACTACTCCACAGCAATTATTTGAACTTTGTACATAACATAGCCTTTGTGTTCACCGTGGAAAAAGATGTGTGAGCAGTGTGTGTAGGTCTGCAACAGGGCTCCTTGATTTCAGTTTGCATTATAAGATAAGGGAGACTTTATTCGTCCCATACAGCTCAAAATAAGTGAACAATGACTATACCATAATAGAATAAAATCTCTAACTTTAAAATACAGTGCATTGGGTACATCTGCGTGAGGGTATGGGACAAGTGGTAAGTAAAGTGAAAATGTTCACATAGACTATGTTGCACATTCTGACATTATTTCCCATTATTTCACAGATATGATATGTGAGGTGAGGTCGGCAGTGTTTGTTAGTCAGGGCCAGTCCCAAATCTGAGGGAATAATTTCTGAATATTGTAATGTATCATGAGATCCTTCCTTGCCCGCAAGTGTGCTCTGGAGATCACTTGCACGCAACGGGCCTTTTTAAGGATGAGAGTGTATTCGCCATTGCTCCCTAAGTATTGGGACTATAGGGTAATGTAACAACTTAATGGCTAGGGTGAGAATTGAGACAGAGCTTTAGTCCTATATTGGATCTGGAAGGCGTGTGTGTGATTGACATTTGACATTTTATGTCTGCTTTTCCCTTTCTTTCAGTAAGCCATTACAGCCTGCAATGAAAGGATCTTTCTGTAGCCCAACACAAGCAGCTGTACTGACGGATAGCATTCTAAATATGCTGGTCACAGACATGCACCCGGTGAGCATGGTGGACGATGTTGGCTTCAAGGCAATGATTGCCACTTTCCAACCAAATTATGTGCTACCTTCGCGGACCATGTTCACAAAGATTTGAAGAACTTAGAAACAAGAGAAAGACAGCTCTGCAAGAGGCTAACACCCCGGCACTAAAAACTGACATCTGGAAAATGAACATTTATATTATGCATATTAGTAATCAATGTATTTAATTCTTAAAACTTGAAACTGTTATCATTACTAAGTAGTTTGTCATTTGATATTGTATAATTAGAAAAATATATATATTTATTCAACTACTCTATTAGTCCATCGGGATATAAAGGGTTCTATTCACATTAAATCTTTGAGCAACCTTTTAGACAGTCTCATTTACTTGTGTATAAATTTGCACCCATGCTTACTATTTATTCTACTGAAATAACTTGAAACTTAGCCTCGTGATGTCTTGTTGTTTCTAATGTAAAAGGGAGGTTTAGTGCCATTCTGTAGCTGAGCCTAAGAAAAAACCTCAACCAGTGCAGTTGTGGAATGCAAATCTAAAGGCCAAACTCATACAGTGTAACAAGGGGATTTGCATTGAGCATTACCGACCTCTGATTTCTGCAGCTCCCAGATGCACAGGGGTAAGACCACCAGTAAGAGTAGAATATAGAGGAAGACCACCAGTGGTCGGATCCATCTTCTCCAGTTCCCGCAGGAGCACGGCATATTGTCATGTAGACAGTAAAGGCCTTTCCAAGTCACGCAGGGCCAAATTACTAAACCATTTAACTCGTCTCACAGGATCTAAGGCTCGGGACATTTATCTCAGCATTTCTTCCCTTTAGACCTCATGAATAGGCAAAATCAACGAATTAATTGCTTATCATGCGTGCTTAGTTCATCGGACATAGCCTTTGGATCGAATTGAAACGATTACGAACTCATTTTTTGGTGTCAAAAGACTTTTTTCACCAAACAGGTCAGCTGGCTAACATTAGCATATCAGCTGTTTCATCGTAAACAAACAAATCACATGACGCTCGCTTTAGCGTTCTACTGTTATGAAAGGCAATCACATTTCAAGGTCAACCGATCATTTTAAAATGCAAATAGTTCATTAAAATGCCGACTACTTAGCACCGTTTGCAATCCTGTTTATGCTCGAGAAAGTTTGCAGAGATGTTTTGTTGTTACTGCACGTGAACTTCCGGGTAGGGGTGCACTTCCGCCCTTTCCAATAATCTGATTGGTTGTCTTAAAACTATGGGCCAATCAGAGGAAAGAGTGTGGTTGTGAATCTCAATATACCTCCTATTCTAGTCCTTATTTCCCTCCTTTATTCTCATTTTCGTTTCTCTTTGTGGCCTTAAAACATGTTCAGATAACTGAAGCTGGACCTTCAGGTAGTTACGTTTTAAAGGATAAAGGAGGTATATTTGAGTTTGGATGTAGCCTTGTGGTGCAGTTCCGAGGCGCGTTTCTTGAATTCACCAGCAGATGGCACTGTGCATTAGCTTTAAACTGCATCCGTGAAGTTGATTTTCTGTGTTTTTTTGTTCGTACTTTTTATGCAACGTAAAATTAGAATACCATAGATCTACGGAAATATTAAATGAACAAATGAAAATGACTTTGTTTCGCCAATTTTTTAAATTTGGGTGAAAGACTAAAATGTTGTTTATTGACTCAGAGATGTGAATTCCTTTTCAAACGGCATCTGGTTTTTTGCAGAGGGTGGTATTTTTATTGGTGGTATTAGACTGAGACAAAGGGTTGAATGAAAAAATTCAAGCAAGTGAGCCAAATATATACAAAGCATTGAGTGCACATATTTTTGCAAAATATACAGCATGTTGGGGTACATTAAATTTATTATATAAATTTTAAAGTCATTTTATCAGATCAATTCTTGAACGTAAAACATATTCCCTATTTTCCTAGATGTATGGGAATTTTAATTTTATTGTATTGTAATACTTACATGTTTGTTATAGAACTTGCATGATTTTTTTCAAGGAAAACATGAAGAAAACATTCACCAAGACTGGTCCAGGACATCAGCACAAATATAATACTTGTCAAGTTGTCCAAATAAAACAAAACAAATCTAATGCGCTCTCCCATAGGTTCATTGGTCTTTTTTATGGTTTCTAAAAAAACGTTTCCCTTAAACATGGCACAAATGCTCGACAAGTGGGTAAGACATTATTCAACCTGACATATGCCATCAAAAGTTTACTCTTTCACTGAGCACTGACAAACCTTCTTACCTTTTGTGCGTCTTCCTGTGGGAAAATTATTGGAGACAGAGCTTTCCTTTCTGTTGCAGCATGTCTCCACTGCCCCACAGTCACAGAAATCACTCGTTGTTGCAGGACAGATTGTTCATGAATTTTGCATCCATCCTTTTGGCTTTTATGAATTAGAAATGGTCTTCATCACAAGTTCTGCACATCGCTGTGAGGGACTGCCATCCGAAGTGCCATGTTAGGGCAGGCGTACGTAAACAATCTGCTGCTTTTGATCACCGCGGATACATATTTTATCATAGAAGAATACAGTATATGACTAAACTAAATCAGGACGAGTGTTGAGCCTTGCGGGATACACATGTACATTGAATAGTTAAATACTCATTGAGGCGGGGAAGACTTATAATTGAAGTAAGTGTTACAAGAAATTACATGAAGAGCTGACTTATTCATCCTATTGCATATGTTGTTATTCTTTTTGTTTCAAGAAACTTTTTAAATGGATATATCAAATAGTTTAACACTTTCTGGTTTGAAATTAGGGCAAACTTTTGGGTTAATTTATCAAGCAGTAGGCAAAAGGCATACTCGCCAAATGTACAGTATGATAATTGTAATAACTTGAACAAAATTGGAAAAAACAACTGCCGAATGTTGGTTGAAGGAGTGTGAAAGGTCCTGTTCCGACCTGAATTCGAACCCAGGACCTGAGAAGCAAGATTTCCACTGTGCCACTCAGTCACAGTTCTTCTGAGGAGGGTTTCTGTTATTAAGCCTCAACAAAGAGGGTCGGCACTTCAAATCAACTTGGAGGAAGCTGTAGCTGCTTTCATGAAGTTCCTGTGTATTAGAAACATCAGTCTTATTATAAAACTGTCAAATATGAATTTGGTCAGTAATGTTTGGAGGCTCATAGTAAGTTGTTCCAGAATTTCACCAACAACTCACTTCCCCAACATCTTCATTTCAATCTGGAGTGACTACAAGAGACAAGATGCTTATAAAAGATGTATTGATTGCGAGTATTGTTTGTAGTTTATTAGTTTGGTGCACAGGCCCCGGCTGTGGTCTTGCTCTGTGAGGATCTGTGCTTGAGATCATGGGATAGGGTTAGGCCTAGACACTGGTGGTAGCAACAGGGAAAGGTGGATGTGAGCGAGTGAAGAAATTCTGAGGCTGACGAAGGTAGTCTACAAATTTGAACTTCCCCTTAAGCTTCATTTGACCTCAGCCTTCAATTCATTGCCCAAAAGTTGTTTTTTTCCATCCAAAACAAGTTTGGCAAGTAAACAAAGTTGTTGTTAGTGATCTTGTTTACGTGTTGATATCAGCTCCTCTCTTTTAGCAATTAAAACTTTAGTTTTATGTCTTTTTTATATATTTGGTTTCCACTCACAACATCTGATTGTGCCAGTGGTCAATAATAAATCAATAATAAGTTTATCTACATGTGATTTTCCATTTTAGGAGCACTCCAGCTACATTACACATAGCTTCCATTTGATAAAGGCCTCGCGATTGCACTGCTAATGTGAACAATCAATTTTATCTGCAGCACTTAAAACAAATCTATGTAAATTTAAGTGCAATGAGTATCGGAAAGTTACTTATTACCTCCGCCGGGGGTAATTTAATCACAAGAGTTTGTTTGTCTGTCTATTTCTCAGTTATTGATACCTAAAAAGGTTGTACAAGAGCGGAGATAGGACAAGAAACAAATGATTATATTGATGATCTGAATCAATGAATTTAAGTATAAGGGCTAAGTATGTGGGCGGCACGGAGACTGAGTGGATAGCACTCTCACTACTCAGCAAGAAGGTCCTGGGTTCGAATCCCGGTCGGAACAGGGCCTTTCTGAGTGGAGTTTACATGTTCTCCCCCGTGTTTGCGTAGGTTTCCTCCAGGTACTCCGGTTTCCCCTACCACTAAAAACTGTACAATAGGTCTGGCATGCGGCTTCTGTACAAACGACCTCGCTCCCATCTCTGTGTGGAGTGAGAGGATAATTGTAAACCACTTTGTGACTCTGGTCTGTGAAAGACGGTATATATAAATAAAGATGACTTAATTACTTACTAAGATAAAACTTTGTTGATCTCACAGTGCATGTCACCACTTGTGCTGTCTTTGTTTTACCTTTCACATATTGTGGAACTTAAATGTTTTAACTACATTTATCCAAATACATAATGACAAAGACCATGACGCTTTATTGTTTGTTCAGATGCTGCCACATCTTTGGGTCTTGAAAAATGACTGAAATGTCATAATTAATCTGCCACACTCTCACTGTGAGCGTTACCAAAGTCCTGTGGCTAACTTCAGATTTCCCGCTGCTGACATGCAGAAAGTTTGAGCTCCGTGGGAAAAAAGCTCCAGGAGGAGTGCATTCAAGTTTGAGCTGTTAATTTTCCAGACTTGGTAAATTTCACATTAAAACAACACGGGGATTAAAACCCAGCTCTGCCAGGGTGAGGGAAGTCACAAATAATAAAATGGGAAAATGGTTAAAAGAAGTAATTTAATGAACAGGAATGTAAATGAATCGACACAAACAAATGGATATAATACAAAATGGGGGTAACAAAAGGTTACAAAAAAACAAGCTGAAACCAACTGGACTAAGACAGAACTAAGGGCTGTGTGAATCAAAACAAAAGATAAGTGACAACTGAAAACCAGACAGACCAAACACAACCAAAATGAAAGTCAGTACCACACCACAGTGACACGACAGAGACACATTACATAGGACACGGAGACACAAAATGCCTTACCAGCCACAACAAAGGCTGGCAGTCAGGTAGTGTGACTGCAAATCTTTTTTTTTTGCCCCATAATAAATGCACTTTACCCTGTAGCTGTCAATTTTATTTTTTTCCATTAAGCTGGTTTCAGGCTAAGTCAGAGTACTTCGTAAATATGACACTTTCCACACATTTTAGGAATACTGGTTAACACATCTCATTAAAATATTCTTGAATTGATCTTGATTTTGTGCCGAATAAAATATGACGGACTTGCAGTTTGTTTGTGGAGGTGGTCGTTTTGTTACTTGAAGATACAGCACATTGTGGAAAAAGTATAGTTTCCCCACATACAGACTGCACTAGAAATAAGTCGCAGGGCTGTAACCTTTCACCAACAGCTGATGGAGCAAAACAAAGACAATATTGTTTGTTTTAACTTTTAAAAAGATTTATTATTTATGTTTTATTGCTTTATTGACTTGTCTGGCAATCATGGGATACAAAACTGTTCAATAAGTAAATATCAGGACAGTTCTTGAAGTGAAGAAGTGTCTCTGGAGAAGCTGAAGTGTTGATAACCTAAAACCAGTGAGGGTAACCAGGGCTGAGTGTGGCCTCGTAACCGACAAGAGCCAAAGCAGCCTCAGCTCTGCTTATCTCACGCTCTGTTTGTGTTTCTCCACGCTGATTACTTGGCCATGCTATTGCCCTCATATTAAAT